CCCCAAAACCCCAAAACCCCAAAACCCCGATCTCTGATAAATATATTTAAATTGTAATTTGAGAATTAAATTTAAATTTAAAAACAAAAAGGGAGGTTTTGTAAAAATGCTAAGTCTTGCTAAATTTATCAAAAAGTAATTGACTATAAGCACCATAGATCAGTATTTATTTATAAACTTAGGGAAATAGAATTGAGAGAAAACTTGGTGGGTACAGGTTTCATTAACCCTCCAGATGAAAGGTCAGAGTTCAACAACAGAGTTACTGTAGTAGGTATGCTATCATTTAATATTTTAATGGCAATAATTTAGGTGAGATCGTTTCAACAACAGGCTTTGATGCTGAGAAACAGTAATATTTTGCAGTTAGTATAGCATTCATAATTTAGATATGTGTTCTATGAGATATTCATCCCTGAAGGATGGTCTTTCGAGGATTATAATGAGTATGAGACTGCTGGATTACTTAGAGAGGAGACTACTGAGTTCAACAAAAGAAATTCAAACACACATATATCGAGAGCTAATGTAGAGGCCTCTACTGACCCTGATGACCCAGAGGGCACTTAGTATGTCTCACACTTTTGCTTCCCTTTTGATTATCAATTCTTGGCAAAAGAGGATAAAAGTAAAGAAATTTTCAATTAATTATCAACATTCTATAGTGAGCAAAAGACCATACCTATTATTCTAAGTTAACTCGGTTGATGATTGGAATAGACACAGAATAGAAGGCTATGGATTCTTAAGGTTACCAATTGAGTCAGGGTTTCATTAGATAGAGATAGACACTTGGAGGCCAAGAGGATCTATTATGACCGAGATCCACTCATTCTTCTTAGGGGGTTCAGTCAGAGTATTGAAACTGGAGGAGCTCATCAGAACTCAGCACTTAGATGAAAATGGTCATATTGATATTGTAAACAGATTTGGTTTGGAAACAGAAGATGCAGGAAAAGTAAAAATCAATTTAAACGTTTGCTCTCAGAACAAGTCATTCTTTAAATATCAACGCAAAGAGTTTAATATAATGAAGATTAAGGAGCAGTAGGAGACTAAAAAGCGTATCAATTAATTCAAACTACAAAGGACAAAAGATGTTAATGAAAAGGCTAAGGATGATGAAGAATTTAATATTAGATAGAACTTAAATGAGTTTGATATAAAGGATAATGGATAAATGCTTAGTGGCCCTATTGGAATGCTTAGCAGATTTGAGCAAAGATGATTAAACAATAATGAATTCAGTGTGTGTCAATCTCAGTTATTAGAGATTATCATAAATTTGAAGGTAGCAATAATAATACTATTGGTTAATTATTCCAAATTTTTCCGATTCTTTGGATCTCGGGGTTTTGGGGTTTTGGGG